AATAAATAAATAAATAAATAAATAAATAAATAAATACAAATTTGCGATCGTCATATTTACAACAACAGCTGTAGCATTATGTTATGGCCTACAACAGTAGAAACCTGTAAGCTTGAGAACATTAGCTTGGATAGCAAAAGTGAGTTATAGAATTAAAATTAAATCTGTTCATTAATTAAGCTATAAAGAGGTATTGAAAACAAGCATTGATCGTCGTGTTTAGAAAAAATTCATATTTTGAGTGCGACTTCTTGAAGTTTTAAAGGTTTTTCTATCGAGGAGTAATCATTTAATATACAAAACACTACTGGTACAGATAAATTAAATTTGAAATACGTCGGTGTTTTTCCCATTGCTCTTATACAAATTATTGCAAGCTATTTTTGACATAGAAGCCGATGTTTCGAATTACGAGGAACAAATAACAATAAATGCCTCCTCATACGTCACAACATTAGCATATGACATGGAAAAACCTTTATAACTTCAAGAAGCCGCACTCAAACTATTTCCGGTTATTCAACTACTTACCCAAAGTAGAATCAATACTGAGAATATTGTCAGAAGGGTGATAGGCACTTTAAATGATTAGACAGTGCCCCGGGGGAGGGGGAGGGGGGGGTACTCCACCAGAATTTGGGTAGGGGTGTTCTGCTGGGATTCTGAAGGGGTACCCTGTTTATGATAAAAAAACTCAAATTTGTGGACCCTGTTTATGACAAAAGATATAATTTATTGCATTGAGTTCCTGTTTCAATTATCATGTCATCTCACGTATCATTTTTTTATGACCATGGTAACCAGTTTCAGTCAATACGAAAGTAGAAATCCTGAATATGACAAGAAACTCAGGAAGAATTTGGACCTTGAGTGAAATTGCATACCCTGTTTATAATAAGAAGCTCGAAAAACCATACCCTGTTCAACGGATCATCCCCATATTCCATAGTCCATATATGGGAGTGCCCCCCGGGGACAATGCAAGATGGCAATGATATCCAAGGGCGGATCCACGGTTTTTTTGAAGGGGAGTCTCAGGGGTAAATTTTGTGGGCAAAGGAATCCCAGTCGCATTTTTACCACAAGAAGCCCATTTGACCTCAGGAATGACAGGGGGGTCGCGACCCCCCCACGACCCTCCCCCTGGATCCGCCCTTGATATCATACAGACACTTGCATGATAACTACCAAAATAGTCGCGTGACGTACGTTCTGTTTGAAAGCCGTCAAATTTGTTTAATTTGCCTAATTTGAATATGTCCTTTGAATATGGCATTCTACGCCATGCGGATTTGTTTAACTATTTTATTCGTTTTCGAGTTTTTTATCATTTTAAAGTAAATACGGCACACATAGAGTGGGTATAATTACAGGACGTCTGATAATTAGTTGTTAGTTAACGAGCACAGCTTGACTTAAGTTTGTAGTTTTTTCATATCATGTCTGAAAAATTAGCTTCATGCCTTTAATTTGCGTGTTGAAGAAGGTAGTTTTAGCTGAAAAATTCAGAAAAAGAATGAATGTTTTCTTGGTTACGATGCTTCTAGTTGGATTTGTTCACTCATGCRAGTGCAAAAGAAAAGATCTGGGATATTTTCCAGTTCTGCTARCGGACAATGTTCATTATCGATACTACTCGGTASAGAGAAACCAAAAGCTTCTCAGTAAAGGTACTAATGTCAAGAGAGTGCGAGTGTACGATGACATGGAGTGTATAGTTCGATGTTCTCGCATGGGAGACTCGTGTAAGTCAGTCAACTATAAGAAGAAAGACACTGATGGTCTTCAGTTGTGTGAACTGATTATCAAAGACACGTACGACCAACCTGAAGCACTGYCTCAGAAGATCCAAGACAAAACATATCAACACAACTCGTTAGAGGTAGGCCTACACATTACATCAAAATTTAACGTTAAAATTGTTGTAGGAAATGCTTGAGAATTTTTTGCATAATCCAAAAAGTCTTTTAAACCTGGCATTCCAGATACACTGAATGTCATTAATGTCAATTGAAATCATTTTGAAAAGGGTGTGAGTCCTGCATGGGCTCGGCATCAAACGTGAGTAGAGTCGTTAGGTCTCTCCCTTGATTCAAGTTTTCTTTCTTCGAGTTTTTTCTGTCTCTCGTTAAATATTCTTCCCTTCGCAAATCCTAACCAGCTAAATTCCAATCCAGTCTATGAATTTCCCATGCCTTGGCTTAGACCAGCMCATTGTCTTCCCGTGGATACTGCAATCGGCAAAGCGAAAATGTGAATTAATGAAAAAAAATCTTACATTTCCACTTGCTTTCAGCGCCCAATCCATAAAACGTGTGCTGAAGTGTACGAGAACAATGGCAGACGTAACGCCGTCTACAACATCGCTCCCATACCTTCTCTCTCATTATATGTTTACTGTGATATGACAACTGCTGGGGGAGGATGGACAGTCATTCAGAAACGAATAGACGGCTCTGTTAATTTCTT